GCAATTATCATCTTTATTGATAATCAAACTTTGATGATAACACTGAAATCTCAATTTTAAAGAAAAATCGAGTATTATTGAGTTATAAATGCATAAATAGCAATTCTACTAAACTAATAAATCATAAAATTAGTACAATATTATCAGTTTTTAACTCTTAATCACTTCAATGTTCACAAGGACGCGAACTCCTGTAAGGATGTCGGTCTTTAATAGTATCTCGTCGGTGCTATTGTTAAACAAAGATGCTTTCTCAATCTGCACACTTTTAAATTCTTGCAATCTGAACACTGCCACAATTTGTAAATTTAACAAAAACGATGTTCACTTATTACGAATGTATAAATAAGGAAATTTAATATTGGTATAAAAAAATTAAATAAACGGTTTTAAAGACAACAATTCTCCTTTAATTCTCTATTTCTAACATATACAGTTCTGTCTTTTACAAGACGATACACGACGATGTTTCGCTCAAAACATTCTCTAGAGATAACTGTACATATTGTGTTAAACATCTCTCCTTCAGATTGATTCAAACGCAAAGAATCTTATACATGTGAATTTCGTTGTGGAATGTTGGGAACGCACAAATACAACGTGATCAAGGATTCCTCTATGCTTTTCGTCTACGTTAATACTGTAAGATATATTACACTTTACAATAATTGCTTGGCGTGAGTGAGCAGTAGCTCTAAAGCAAAACAAATATCCTCAAATATTGAAACAATATTATATCCAGTGTTTATTATAATATAATAGATTCCAGAGATAACATATGTAACCTTGGATCTGCAACTTGCAACTTTTACATGCAAGCTCATAAATTGTTTGTAATTTTTCGGTTTACTTTACATATTAATATCATTACTATCCATTTTACACTCTCATTGCACAACATCAAAAACAATATATGATCCTGTAAGCTTGTAACATTAATATTTTTTAGCCTGCAACAAAGGCGCGTTACTCCTTCCTTTTTTTCCTTTATTATCCGATAACGTATACACCGTTTAACTATTTTCTTTAATCATTCTCTTATCACATTACATCGACCTTTTTTGTAGATACAGGAGTGTTTTAATGTCGAAGAGAAGATAAATCGGATTTGTACGCGCAATTCCATTAAAATAAGCTTACGCATAAGGCGAGACAAATAAAACGATTAATGACGGGAATCTCTCGGATAGAATTCCGCGAGGGTGCTGGCTGGGATTCGCTTAAGCATCTCCTTGGGAAAGATTCGCAAAAGCTGCCAGCCAATGTCCAACGATTCAAAGACCGTGCGATTTTCATAGCTGCCTTGCGAGATAAAGTTTTTCTCAAACTTCGATAGGAATTCCAAGTATAACAGAT